AAAAAAAAAAAAAAAAAAACTTCTTGTCTTGTGGTGGATGGACAAGCTAATAGTCCCTTCACCCCTCCTAGGCTTCTTTGTGTTTTGTTGTAGATAGTAGTCTGTTGGGATTGATTGTTTTCCAGTTGCTTGTTGTGTGTTGTAAGGCCTCGGGCCACTGAACCCTGTTTTCCTCGACTTTTGTAGTATATTCATCGTTTCGAAAAAAAAAATATATAGATTCTCTACTTTACCCAATGCACATCATCAATTGTACAGTGTTCTATCTAACTTTTAACAGATTTGTTTGACAAAATATAATTATGGATGTTAAATAGGAAACTATCATCTTCACTAAAAAATAGGGCTAATGTCGGAATCCTCTCTCGCGCACGACCCTGTGATGGATTCACCGGTGAATCCGAAAGTCGACCCACCGGATTGTAGCTTGCTGGATTTCCCAGAATTGCAAAAGGCCTTCCCTCCCCATTTGAACAGTACACGCTCTTTGAAACGTTCTCGGATTGTAGAAAATCAGGCAGGACCGATGGAAAATGATGTGTTGGTTCCACCGAGCACATTCTCGCCGCCACTAAAACAGAGTTTTCGGGACATGCTTAATTGGAATCGCCCCCATGTGGAATTACTTTCGGATGCTGAGGAGGGAGAGGACCTTGATGAGGAGGTATTTGTGGATTATCAGGGGCCTCTACCAGATATACAAATGAAAGAGAACTTTTATGAGTCTATGGTGAAATCTTGGCAGAACGTAGTTGTGGTCAAGGCGATGGGGGCTTATTTTTCTCACCAACTGTTATATTCAAAACTGGTGGCATTATGGCCCTTTATGAACGACTGTAATATGATTGATTTAGAGAATGGCTACTTCCAGATACGGTTTAATTCTAATGACGATGCCGTCCGGGTACTTGTGGGAGGACCTTGGATAATCTCCAAGCAGCACACTAAGGTTTATCTCCATGTCCAACCTTGGACTGATACTTTTGATGAGAAATGCAATGAGATTAAATCCTTGGTTGCTTGGATCCGTTTGCCGGGGATGCCGGTGCACTTGTATCACAAGAAAGTCTTTCGGACCATCGGACAAATCGTGGGCAAGGTAGTGAAAATTGATCACCAAACCGCAGCTCAAACAAGAGGGAAGTACGCTAGGCTGACAGTTGTACTCGATTTAACTAAGCCGGTGTGTGCACAATTTATGATTCGGGGCAAACTCCAAAGGGTTGAGTATGAACATATTCCCGATATATGCTTTTCTTGTGGGCATTATGGCCATGCTTCGTCGAGTTGCCCGAACCGTCCTTCTACAGCTCATACAGTAAGTGGAGAGAAGGATAATGGAGTAAAAGTTGATGGGGCTGAGGGATGCCAGACTAAAGAGCAAGGAGGAAGTTCTAGCTTTGGCAAGGAGCATGCTAGTGCGGGGATGGATACCGACGGTGTCTGCGGGCCGTGGTTGATAGCCAAAACTGTTGGAAAATCGTACAATGGCCAGAAAAGAGGAGGTTTGTATCACGGACAAAAGTGGACTGAGAGCCCGATTAATTCGGGCTCAAGGTTCAATGTTTTAGGAGAGGATAATGAGGAGGGGATGCAGCCACAACAGAATCGCCCAACTCAAAATTTGTCCTTTGGTGCTGCTAGGAGTTCTGTTGAGACTCAGGGGGCAAATAAAGGAATAAATAAGAAAGCAAATGAAGGAGAATGGAGGGTAGTGAGTGGGAAGAAAAATAGTGGAACCATAAAGGAGAATAAAAAGGCGACCAAGCCATTTATTGGCGAGACTAGTGGGGCAAACAAGTGTATTAACGGGAGTAACAATTATGAGATGGGGCCATTGGGCTTTACAGCCCATGGAGTAGATTCTTTTGGGAATTTTGGCATGAATAGCGAGGCCAAAAATTTTAAAAGTAAACAGCCCATTGTGATACCAATGGAATCTGATTTGG